GTTGCACTCTTCACCAGCAGTTGCACATGAACAACATTGATAAGATATGGATGATGTGGCAACAATCGCCCCACTTTGGCAGCTCCCGGAACTCCCCGTCTACCTTGACGCTGTAGCTTCCTTGAGCCCAATGAACTGAGTACTAACCGACAGTAGTCAATCCCCACCAAAGATGAAGTCACAACCGTCCAGCCTCGAAGAGTCAAAATTGCGTCTAATTATTGGTCATAGCACTACACACAACGTTCAAATGATTGGTCCTATGTGGAGAGGCATCCCATCTATCATGCAAGCGTCCTTGAAGATGCATGATGAATCTGTTTCGAGATGGAGACGACTGACTAATGAAGAAGAGACGAACGAGTGGCTAGCTCCATTATCTAAGAAAATCTTGATAGGAGTTACACGAAGCTTCCCTAGAAGCACGATTGGTCGATCAATAGTGTCTACTACCTCGTTCGGCATAGATGAGTGTTTTAAGGTCGTCTCCTCTATGTTGATAGACATGGCGGGTACGTAAGCTTCCACGCCAACTAGCGACCCGCTGTCTACTAGTGGTTTTTGTTTCTCTGCTGCCGCTCCTTACGTTGTGGACAGTCCCGCTTCATGTGTCCCGTCTTTTTGCAATAGCGACAGTTTCCCTTAAAACCCATTCGATGTGAGTCGTCAGTGTTAACTGCACCAATCTCCATGGGCGACGGTCCGTCATTTGATCGATTGTCGGTGATCGGTTTGTATCCCCTATCGCGATGGTCACGACCCAGTCGGCTTCGTACTGTGTAGGCGCGTTCTACTGCTGTGACTACTGACTCGAAGGTGGACAACGCATGTATCACGATGATCTTCACTATGTTTGACTTTAACACCTCGAGGTTGCGATCTTTGCTTCCGTGATGCATAGCTATTGTGTATACTCCTGGACGTTTCCTATCTGTCAGAAGTGACGCAGACGCTTCCTAGCAGCTTCGGAGGCGTTCGCTAAGTCGAACCTACTTTTCAGCGCCGCTTCGAATCTTTACCATGTCGTCGGAACCGTGGTAACACCCAAAGCTAAACTCCCTAAGCTCGAAGTTGCAGCTGCATGCCCCTCGCCCCGTCTAATTAAGCCCTCCGTACAGCAGTCTGCGTAAGTTGGCGCCACCACTCCCAAGGCCAGGCCCTCAGCAACGTTACGGCACATATTCGATCCGCTGCTGCCCGTCCGCCCCTTGCACCCCACTCGCGGCGAAGCAGTTTTTGAGCATGAAGAGCCATGTCCGCACGTTCGGGTCACGTTGACTTGTGTCAAACGAGTCGGTGTTCTGAGCCTTGAGTGCGCTTCCACGTTCCGGTAGCACATCCGCGCAAGTAGACGCGATGGGCGCAAGAGATGGTGCAGGCGCAGGAAATGGTGCAGCATGACCATGCGGGTTAGAAGCCGAATTGCGAAGATGTTGCATTTCCACTGGTACCTGATGATTTTCCAACGTGAATTCTTCGAGTTGACGCTTGAGCTTGGCAAGCGTGTTGTGAGGATCGAAGGAACTGCTTCAGGAATTATAATATGATCACCTGTGTACATCACGAGACTTTATATAGGCGCTACACAAAGGAAATAACCCGAGTCTTATTAGAATGTTCTGTGTGTCGCGAAGCGTCCCCAACGGGCCCTTTCCGAATTCGGTAGAAGGTAATTCGGTGGAAACCGAATGAATTCGGTGCATACAATCTAGAAGGGTGCTATAACAATAATAAAATATGGTAAGTTGCACTGCCTCCCCCTCCTATGCCGATCACGGTCTATTTTATTGCAGCAGAGGCATGCCGTGGCGATCGTTGCTCCAGTTGGACACTGCCAGCAGCGTTTTACACACAGCACAATGTATTGAGAACAATCAATATTTGATATACAGTGTCACCATGCCGCTGGATACTAATCAACACGACACTCCACAAACCTTCTCTGCCGCCCACCATGCCAATACGTTGGCAAATCTTTTGAGCGATGCCCTCCTTCTTTTGTGCTTACGGGCTAGCAGCATCTCTCGCTCGTTTCGGAACAACCCGAGCACGATATCACGAACTCGCGATGCAGCCCTAGTCTTACACTCGCTCAACGTCTTGTTCAAGTACCAGCAACACGATTTGTCGCCAAGGCCACACACGCATAGCGTGGGGCATACAGTCAAAAACCGTACACAGTCCGTCAGTTTTGTCATCGCTGCTTGGGTAAAACATCATCGTTGCGTACGGCTTGCTCAGAAACAGGTAAATCCCCACAAGGACACACATGCGCTAAATGTTAAATATAAAAAGATTAACGCAAATTTCCACTAATTTCATTTGTATCCATAACGAACAAAATGCACATAAACAGAAACCAGAATGTCAACCATCACGGCAACAACCGTGCGGCATTTCACAAAACAAAACCCATTACACACCTTCAACGTCTTGTTTGCAGGGAAGAGATCTAGAGCGCACTAGAGCACTGGCGTCCTCGATGACCTCATATGGCGACGACGCAAATCACCTCTCATTGTCCTCATCGCCCTTGGATACAGCGCTGTCAGACTCCATACGGCAATGTTTGGGGTTGGCACATTCGAGTCCCGGCACTCTCGGCTTCTCCGCTTTCCGACGACGAGACCCTCCGCGGCTCTTTGCTACCCTCCGCGGCTCTTTGCTAGACGTTCAGCAACAATTCTTTCCAGACGAGCAACGGTCTTTGCATCGTCATCATGCGCCTGCATAAGACGGTAAAACACGATCCACAACACGATCACCTACTCTGCATCTGTGCTCGTTGGGGTGTTCGACTGGGTTCCTCGACCCGCAAGCAGTGTGCGCAAAGCAACGAGCTGGTCATCTTCCTCCAATTCAGTGGGCTTCTTGTTGCCCCCCATTGGAAGCATGCGGCATTCCAGAAAGAACTTGTTCGACGTTCTTGTTTTTTGCTTGCCCGTATTCACTGTCGCTCTGCTCGCCGACTGCGCCGATTCCGATTAATCTCCATCTAATGTGCCACGCCATTCTGACGCCTCCGGGGTCTCGATACCTTCGATTTCCTTTTGAAATACATACGGGTGGCATGAACAAACAACCTACCAGGCTTTAATATCCACAAGACAATATGTAGTATGTCGTATAAGCTAGCAACATGCAGATGATTGAAAAGGAGTATGCGGTAATTGCTCTACAGAACACCTACCATCTTCCCCAAAGTGGTAGCCTTCTTCAATCTTTCAAAATTTAACTATTTCTGGGTAGATTACGGAAACCCCTAGCACTCTGACCCCTAGGAGCGGCCAGGTAATTAGACGCCCTAAAAAATGCTCTCAGTCATTATCTTGTCAAGCAGGGTGTATCTCATGCCACCCAGCTTTGAGTGGGGAACGCGTGAGAGTACGACGAGTTTGTTAGGCTTTGCTAGCTTGATTCTACTTCATGATTCATCTAGCTTAGCTTTATTTTATCGTGCATGCCCCCTCAATGCCCGCAAAACCCGGATTTACGGCGTGGAAAACAGGATTCAAGGGGCGTTGGGGAGGAGAGTGGCGGGCCTTAGGATTGAGTTAACCTTTGGGGCAAGGGTGTTGGGGAGGAAGGGAGGGTCAAGATGAGAATATCAGGGTGGTCAAAATGAGAACATCAGGGGTCAAAATGAGAATGCCTAGGGGGTCAAAATGAGAATAATTGGGGGATAGAAATGAGAATACATGAGAGGACAAAAACAGTACAATGACTACTAAACATGGAAACATCATATAACATAAAAATACGGAAATAATTACAACTTTGGTAGAAAAAGCGATCATTCGACTTACGTTAAAGCAAGGGTGCACTTTGGGGGGGGTAGAGGCAAAGGTTTATCTTTTGCCTCCCCTTCCGTCGTCTGTTCCCCAACCTAACTTGTGAGCGATTTTTTTTGTGTTCGCTAGCACATTCTCCAATCCTCGCTCCAGTGTTTCGTATGGTTGGACTCTTCGCCAACCATTCACAGGACTCCAAGGGGTGTACCAAACCAATACACCCGAAAATCACCCCTAGGAATGCGCACCCTTGCTTTAAACCTTCTTTTATATGTATTGAAATGTGTGACTTGATTGAAAGATGTCCGTAATATCAAGTATGGCTTTGAGTATGTGTCTTCCTTTGCCCTCAAAACCTGGTATTCCGTTGTGAAAAACAAGATTCAATGGCATTGGGGAGGAAAGTGGCGGGCCTTATGATTGAGGTAACCTTGGGGGCAAAGGTGGTGGGGAGGAAGGCAGGGTCAAGAAGATAATATTAGGGGGGGGTCAAGGCCAGTTCACATGCAGTGCTAGATATAGTACAAGACAAGCAACACAGTGATCAAAACCTAGCAAGCAAGCAACAAGATATATATAAAGTACAGTACAAAGAATGTCAAGCAGTGAGCAAGTGAGGAAACGTGGACACAAGGCCTAAAGAAGTACAGTGCCGCTGATGATCACTAGGCGGGAGCGCCTTGGTGAAGATATCAGCAGTGTTGGCCTTCGAGTCCACGTACACAAGCCGAAGCTGACCTCGCTGCTGCAGCTCTCGAGCAAGAAAGTAGCGAAGAGCAATGTGCTTCGTCCTGTGCTCCAGTCTGTGCTCCTGACACAAGGCAAGGGCCGCCTTGTTGTCACCGTACAGAACTGGAGGAGAACTAGGCCGCTCTCCCAAGTCAGTCAGCAGGTAGGTGAGCCAGCGTAACTCCTGGGCAGCCATGGCTGTGGCGTAGATCTCAGCCTCACAACTAGAGCCAAGAACAGAAGAAGAGCGGGTGGACCGCCACGAGACAGAACCAGAGCCAAGGCTGAAGGTGTAACCCTGTGACGACCGCTGCGTAGCCAGGTCGTCCACCCAAGAAGCGTCCGAGTGGCCAGTGAGGACAACTCTGTCGCGTCCTCCAAGCACCAGCCCCATGCCTGATGTACTGCACAAGTAGCGCAGCACCCTCTTAGCAGCCTCCCAGTGCTCTCGCCTGTGTCTCCCAGGCGCAACGTAACGAGCAAGGATGCTAAGAGGGTACGCGAGGTCAGGTCGCGTGCAAGTCATCAGGTACATGAGGCAGCCCACAAGCTCTGGGTACGGGCCACTCGGCTCTACGGACTCGTCCGGAGGTGGAGCTGAGAGCGAGTGGCTGGTAGCCAGAGGTGTGGCCTGTGGTGAGGAGAACTGGAAGCCGAAGCGCTGAAGGACCTGCTGCACCATGTGTGACTGAGTCAGGGTGATGGTGCGGCGAGCTCTGTCCGGGTGATCTGCAAGCCAAGGTAGCTACGCAGCTCACCCAGGTCAGTGCAGGTGTGTCTCTTCTGCAGCTCCGACTTCACACGAGCGAGTGCCTCAGTGTCAGCAGTAGCAAAGACCAAGTCGTCGACGTACACGAGAATGTAGAACGGCGGCAGCGACGTGTCTGTGCGCAGAAACAGCGACGGGTCAGCAGTAGACGGCGCGAACCCAAGAGCCGCAAGTGTAGTCCTCAGTGTGTCGTGCCACTCGCGTGGCGCCTGGCGGAGACCGTAGACTGGCCGGCGGAGGCTCCACTGGGTACCAGGAGGAAACGACCCAGTAAAGCCAGGTGGGCGGCGCAACCAGATCTCCTCGTGCAGGCTGCCCTGCAGGAACGCTGTGCTGAAGTCAAGAGAGTGAAGCTCGTAGTCACGCTGAGCAGCAACGTGCAGCAGAACCCGAAGAGTGGTCATCTTCGGGGTGGGGGAGAAGGTCTGGAAGAAGTCAACCCCCTGGCGCTGACTGAAGCCTCTAGCAACGTAACGAGCCTTAAAGACAGGCGGAGAACCTGGCGGCCGCTTCACCCTGAAAATCCACATGCCATCGACGATGTTCGCCCCAGGAGGGGGAACCTCGTCGACGTAGGTGCCTGTGGACTTCTAGGATGCCATCTCTGCGTCCATGGCTGTCTGCCACTGAGAGGAGTAGGGACCCGAGATCGCCTCTGCGTAAGTGCGCGGAGTGGGGATGTCTAGTGCATCCGGGTCTCCCTCAGGGGCAAGCAACCAGGCCACGAGATGAGGTACAGCAGCCGCGAGAGAGTCAAAGTCCTCCTGCCTGTCCTCAAAGACGTCCGTGCCAAGAGCACACTCACCCCCCGACGGACGGAGGACAGACAGACGCAGACTCAGACCCAGCAACAAGGCGAGCAGCGTAGTCTAGACGACAGGCAGCAGCAAAGTCAACCAACTCAGCGACCAGAGCAGACGCAGCCGAGGACTCAAAGGTAGGGTCAGTGACAACAGTAGCTAGGAGACGCGTGACAGTAGGGTGCTCAGCACGATACCGGTCAGACTCAGGGTCCGGAACGGCAGGCAAAGAGGACGGCAAGGAGGAGACGGCAGAGGGACACGCTGAGGAGCAGTAGAGGGACGCAGAGTCATGTAGTGAGTGCCTGGGACAGGAGGAGGACGCTCACGACGGACACGACGACCAGTGCGAGCAGTACGGACAGGCGACGCAGGACGAGACTCAGGCTCACGACGCTCTGTAAGAGACCTCCTGTGGGACCAGTGTAAGGAGAGGGAGCAGGGAGAGGCGAGGCAGGCGGTAACTGTGACTGCGGCTGGACAGTCGGAGGACACTCTACGGAGGGAGGAGGACAAGGAGGAGGAGCCTGCCCAAGAACCTGCTGAAGGAGCGGTACGAAGTACGGTCGCGGCCGCGCAGCGTCTCCAGAAGCAGAAGAGACTCCAGCGGCCGGGTCCGCAGTACCAGCAGGAGCTCCAACGTCCGGGTCCCCAGCACCAGCAGCAGCGCCACCGCTCGGGTCCTCAGCTCCAGCAGCAGCTCCACCAGGTGGGTCCGCAGCACCAGCAGCAGCGCCACCCTCAGGGTCCGCAGCACCGCTAGGAAGAGCACCCCCAGAGGCGGCAGCTCCAACTCCGCTAGCACCGCCAGCGCCAGAGTCCCCAGCTCCAGCAGCTCCAGTCGTAGTGCTCCCAGAACAACCAGTCCCGGCAGCTCCAGTACCCCCAGTAGGAGCATCCCCAGGACGAGCAGCTCCAGCACCCCCAACTCCAGCCGAGCCACGAGGACGGCGAAAGCGCCGGACGTACCAGTCACGAAGCTGCTGCGGTGTGAGAGACTGCTCAGCACCCCGAACCGGAGCACCCCCAGACGCAGCAACCCGAGGCTCCGTAGGCTCAGTAGCAGCACCCCCAGGCTCAGTACCCGCAGGCGCAGCACCCCCAGACTCCGCACACGCAGGCTCAGCACTCCCAGTCGCAGCACCCCCAGGCACAGCACCCCCAGGCGTCGAACTCTCAGGCACAGTACCCTCAGCCCCAGCACCCGCAGTCCCAGCACTCCCAGGCCCAGCACCCGCAGGCTCAGCACCCCCAGACTCAGCACTCCCAGCAGCACCACCTGCAGCAGCACCTGAGTCACCTGTGACCTCGACAGGCTCAGCGACGGGAGGAGGGTCTACCTGAGAGACACCTGAAGGAGCAGGACCCTGAGGGGGGAGGGGGTCTACCGGAGGGGGACCAGGAGCAAGGAACAGCGGCGGGGGAGGGAGGGGGGCAGTGCGGTAGGGGAAGAGACGGTAAAAAGGGACCGACTCGTCAAAGGTGACATCCTGAGAGGCGAAGACCCGGCGCGAGGTGGGGTGGTAAAACTGCCAGCCAGGCGCGTCAGGGACAAAGCCAAGGAAGACACAGGGAAGCGTGCGGGAGGAGAGCTTGTCCGCGGACGTATCGCGGACAAGGGCACGAGCACCCCACACCCGGAAGCGCGACGCATCGCCAACCTCCCCCGTCCAACGCAGTGTGGGCGAGGTCTCCGGCAAGGAGACACGGGGCCAGAGGTTGAGCTGATGCGCGGCGTACCGGACAGCAAACGGCCACAGAAAATGGGGAGCCGCCGCGTGGACCAAGGAGGTACGAGCGACCTCCATGACCAGGCCAATGCGGCGCTCAGCAACCCCATTCTGCTGTGGGGAGTCCGGAAGCGTGAAGGTCTGCTCAATGCCCTCCGCCTGACAGAAGGTCCTCAAGAGATCGGAGGAAAACTCACCACCTCTGTCAGAGTGCAGACGCAGGACAGGAAGATCCGTCCGGAAACGGCGGCGGAGCTGGAGACGAACTGTGCGGATCCAAGGGATCAGAACAGCAGGGACCTCACCCTTGGTGCGCAAGGGGAAGACCGTGGTGTAACGCGAGTAGTCGTCGACAACCAGCAAAAAGTACCGCTCACCGCCCTGACCACGAACGCGGGCTGGGCCCCACACGTCCAGGTGGAGGGTCTGCAGAGGAGCCTCTATCGGGGGGAACGAGGAGGAGTGAGGAGCGGCGCGCTGCCGCCCCTCGACGCAAGGAAGGCAAGGCGGCGCAGGCGAGGCAGGGAGGGGAGGGAGGGACCTGGGAAGACCAGACACAAGGTGGCGACGGTGCATGCCACGAAGGCGTGGCAAGGAGGGGTGACCCAGGCGGTGGTGCCAGAGAAGAGTCTGGTGCGACAGGGAACGACACTCACAGGCGTGGGCTACCAGACCTGACGCAGACACCTGACCGACAGCAGCGACCTGAGGAGACGCAGTGGTCAGTGTGTAGAGACTCGACCCCGGCCGACGGGTAAACGTAGCCAGGTGACGGCCGGTCCTAGAGCACGTGCAGATCGCCACACGCTGTCCTCCAGGGGTAAAGGTGTCAACCCACTGATCCTGGATGACAGCGTTGCTCACCAGGTTCGTCGAGAACGAGGGGAGGTGGAAACCCGACAACGAGCCAGACGGAACCGCCGGACAAGGGAGGACAGTGGTGGACTGGGCAAGGACTGGGCCCCCAGAGGGGTCAGCCAAGGAGACTGGGACCGGTGCAGGAAGCGGTGTGAGCTCAGTACTGTCACGAAAGAAGCAACGGGAAGCACCTGAGTCAAGGGTGAAGGTGTGACAGGCCTCAGCCGGTGCGGTACCTGAGAGAGCAGTCTCTGTGGGTGCTGTACCTGAGAGAGCAGACTCGCAAACAGCCGGGACAGCACTAGAGGGAGCAAGTACAGGGGGCACCATACCAGAGAGAGCAGACTCACTAGTACCTAGGGCAGCGGGCTCTATACCTGGGTCAGGCGGCACACACAAGTAACAGTCTCCCTCGGCACTAACAGTCAATGCATACATGGCAGCAATAATAGCATCATAGTCAAGAGCAAAGACATCAACACCAGCCCTCATCAGCTCAGCCCAGCGAGGGCGCTCAACATCCTCGCCCATCTCCTCACGCCAAGCGTCGTCAAGGCGGAAGAAGCAGCGGTACTGAGTGTGGAACTTTCCACACGTCTGCCCCTTGCGATCACCTGTGCGAATGACATAGGAACAGCGGCCACTGCCCCCCGACGTCCCACGCTGAGCAAGCCACTCACGAAGCTGCTGGGTCGACTGGGGACGCTGCTGCTGCTGGGAGCTCTGGCCCGAGCCGGTGCCTCCACTCCGACCTCCACCGCCGCCACTACCTCCGCTCCGACCGCCACCACCGCCACCGCCACCGCCACTACCGCCACCGCCGCCACTGCCGCCGCTGCCACCACCGCCACTGCTCCCGCCGCCGCCCCCGCCTCCGCCGCCGGCCCCACTCCCACCGGCACTCCCGCCACCGCTCCCTCCAGCACCGCCTCCCCCCCCACCTCCCCCACCCCCTCCCCCCCCAGCGCCACCCCCGCCACCCTTGCCCCCCTTGCCCTTGCCGGTGCGGCGCCTCCCACCAGGAGCAGAAGCAGCGCCAGCAGACTCAGCACCAAGGAAGTCAACAGCAGCAGCAGTAGCATAGGAGGGAGCGAGGGGAGAGGGAGAGCACCCCTCAAAGATGGGGGTGCGAGGAGCGCCGCGAGCAGCACCTACAGCGACAATGCTCTTCTCGGCTGCTAGCAGCTTCTCCTCTAGGAGGGCGACAGTGAGCTCAGTGGGACAGCGAGCAAGGAAATAGTCGCGCACTGAGCTGAGGGTGTCAGGGAGACGGGTGACTATGAAGTGGAGTGCCCAGTACAGGGGAGGGGGGTTCTTAGCGCAGAACTCGGTGGGAAGGGCGGCACGCAGGCGAGCATCACTAGTGCGAAGGTGGGTGATAAGATCGGCGACTGTAGCAAAGGTGGACAGGTCAGGGAACAGGTAAGGCAGCATGAGACGGCTAAGCTCGGCTGTGGCAGGTGAGGAGTAGCGAGCAACGACAGCGTCGTATAGGGCTTTAGCGGTTTTGCAGTCGCCAAAGTGCTCTAGCTCAGCGAACGGCAGGTGACTGCGAATAGCCAGGCGAGCTGCAGCGTCACGAGTCTGCCAGTGGGAACGAACACTAAGCTCGGCTGTGGCAGCAGGAGCAACGGCAGCACCAGACGCGTAGTCATAGAGGGAGATGTGGTCCGTGCTATTGCTCATAAGATACAACTGCAGGTCGTCGAGCCAGGAAGTGAACTGCACGGGACGGCCCTCAGCATCGAAGGAAAGAACGCGAATAGAGGCCATAGCTCAGGCGTGAGGGCACAGCAGAGCAGCGGCAGCAGCAGAGGGGACGCGCTAGAGCGAAGCTAGCAGCCACAGCAGGAGCAAGCGGCGGTGCACAGGCAGGGAGCAGCAGGCGAGGCGGGCGGCGCTGCAGGCGGGAAGTGCGGCGGGCGGGCTGCGAAGCGGGCAGCGGGGCGGGCGGGCGACGCGGCGAGCGGGCAGCGCGGCGGGCGGCTGCGAAGCGGGCAGCGGGCGGGCGGGCGACGCTGCAAGCGGGCAGCGAGGCGGGCGGGCGACGCTGCAAGCGGGCAGCGGGCGGGCGGGCGACGCTGCGAGCGGGCAGCGAGCGAGCGGGCGACGCTGCGAAGCGGGCAGCGGGCGGGCGGGCGACGCTGCGAGCGGGCAGCAAGCGGGCGGGCGACGCTGCGAAGCAGGTAGCGGGCGGGCGGGCGGCGCTGCGAGCGGGCAGCGAAGCGGGCGGGCCGCGAAGCGGGCAGCGAGCGGGCGGGCGGGCTGCGAAGCGGGCAGCGGGGCGAGCGGGCTGCGAAGCGGGCAGCGGGGCGAGCGGGCGACGCTGCGAGCAGGCAGCGCGGCGGGCGAGGGGCGAGCGGGCAGCGTGGCGGGCGGGCGACGCTGCGAGCGGGCGGCTCGGCGGGCGGGCGACGCTGCGAGGGGCGCGCGAGGGCGCTAGCGAGGGGCGCGCGAGGGCGCTAGCAAGGGGCGCGCGAGGGCGCTAACGAGGGGCGCGCGAGGGCGCTAGCGAGGGGCGCGCGAGGGCGCTAGCGAGGGGCGCGCGAGGGCGCTAGCAAGGGGCGCGCGAGGGCGCTAACGAGGGGCGCGCGAGGGCGCTAACGAGGGGCGCTGCAAGGGCGCTAACGAGGGGCGCGCGAGGGCGCTAACGAGGGGCGCGCGAGGGCGCTAACGAGGGCGCACGAGGGCGCTACGAGGCTAGGGCACGGGGTAGCGTGGTAACCGCATGCGAGCGGTGGTGGGCCCTTAAAAAAAAACGGTCGGTAGGTCCTAGGGACCTCCTGCTCTGAATACCATTTCAGAATAGCTAGGCAAGAATGAATGAACTAGCAGAAGTTTGGGTACAAATATGAAACCCTAGTTGGGGTTGTACCCCATATTGGCTACCCCACTACAGCCTACAAGCATAATACAGTTTAACACGAAGCGCTTATACTATCAAGTATGACTTCGAGGTCGCGTTCTCCTTGAAGATCTTGTGTTGTCGCTGATCGGGGACGCGTCCTCCTTGAAGATCTTGTGTAGTCGTTGATCGGGTCTTAAAAACAGGATCGACCAGAGCAAGTCTCCACTAAGTCTCCCCCTCCCTCAATGCCATCAAAACACGGTTTTCTAGTGTGGAAAGCGAGGGCATTGTGGAGGAAAGTGGCGGGCCTTAGAATTGAGGTTACCTTGGGGGCAAAGGGGATGAGGAGGAAGGAAGTGTCAAATTGAGAATTTCATTGGGGTCAAAATGAGAATTTCAGAGGGTCAAAATGAGAATGCTTTGGTGGGTCAAAATGAGAATGGTTTCCTTATCCTTTGCTTAACTATATTTATTAAGCTGCGTGCACCGAATTGAGTGCTATTCGGTTCACACCGAGCAGCTTCTACTGAGTTCAGGAAGCATCAATTCAAAATCCTTAGCGACCTACGGAACCTTAATGTAAGACCTGGTTACCCTGCTTGTGTCAAGCCTATATATAGCCTCATGTTTTACCCTGGTGAATCGATGAATCCATTAGATCATTTCTGAACCAGTTCCTCGATCTCACAAATGGCTTACACGCTCAATAACTTCATCATGCTTTATCAGGTTGAATATTGTGAGAGTACGATGGCTTTACCTACATATATTTACTTTATCTAAAAGCTCCGAAAAAGGTTGCGTGCATGGACTCTGTTCTTCTCGGTTGCAGCCGCGAGGCTACTGCCAAAATTGGGAAGGATCCATTCGGGACGCTTTGCGACCATCAGAACCTTCACGTAACACCTGGTTACCCTGCTTGTGTCAAGCCTATAGATAGCCTCGTGTCGTATGCAGGTGGTTCAGTCAATTGATTCAATCATTTTTTAACCAATCAATCCTCACAAGTATTACAAATTCCGTGGACATGTCTAAGAACAAGTTTATGCTGTTATGATGTACATACATGATATAGGTTAATAAATATGTACAAAACAAAGAATAGACAAAAAAAAATAGAGTGGTGTAACAACCACAAAGGTTCCCCAGCCAGTGGTTGAACAAGGTGGACGGCACTTTGTGTCATTGCAGCCCACTTAAATTGCTTGCAATGGGTCATATCATCGATGTTGCAAAATTCTTCGTAATACTTGATAAGCGCATACTCGCGACGATCCCTCCCGTGCCCAATGTGAAATAGGAGAAGAACTCTCGCTTGCTATTCATTGGAGCCATGAATGGCTGCGTTGAAAAACCAGCCACGTCCATGAAACACCAGCACGGTACGTATGCGAAGTGGCACGGCTCTAAATGATGGGTCAGTAGCGAGATGGATGGTCAATTCATTGTGCACATATATGCTAGTTGCATTCATTGTGGGCTAAAAAAATCGGTTTAGGGCTTGTCTTAGGTGTCAGACGTCGTCACTTAACGCGGTAACCAGGCCCTCAGATATCAGCGTAAAACACGCTGATTAGGCTGATTTTGTAGCTGTGATTTTCGTTTTCCCTGAAATTTCAGTATCTTCTTTATGTTTGCACTGATTTTTCAGTTTAATATATAGGACTACCCTCATGAATTAGTACTAAGGTGTATCTGTAACACTGAAGCATCAATATAGTGTACCGAGTCACACTGATTCGGACTTAATGTAGAAAAATGTGTGTAAGGTACAGGAAGGTGTGCGCGCACACACTTGTTAGTGTAAGGGCCTAATAGACTCAAGCTATTAGGACTTAATCAAACTTAAAACCTCTCCTCGGGGTCACCTCCAAGGGTCCCTGGGTGCCTGGTACAAGACCAGCCCCTATCCTCGGGTCCGAGTTTGTAGAGAGAGGGATCAAGAAGGACTTAGTCAAAACAGCAAGAGTACCTTGAACGTCGCGCAGCGTGCCGTGCAGACCGTCGGTCGGATTAAGCTGAGAATTCGCTATATCGAAGCTCGCTCCAAGAGCTTTAAAATGAGCCAAGTTGCCTCGCGAAAAGTTCTGCCATTACGAAGTTATGGCTCAGACGGTGTTTGCCTAGCATTAGAGTGCTAGCGTACTAGCGTTGACTCGGGTAGCATTCCGCCAACGAACCGCGTAGAAACGAAATTCCAGCGAGGAAGGAATTCACATGAATCAATTTGACTATATTCAGGTACAAACAGAGAAGGATTAAATAGTTCTAGCTAGCAAGGACCTTGGGAATCAACCTGGGAACAACCAGGGATGATCCCAAATAATTCCAAGCAACAGAACCAACCTGGCTGGACAAAATAGCAGGTGGTAGGTTGGTAAACAACCTCTGGTTCTGTTTTTCCAACCCGGGAAAACAACAACCAGGTTCAGGTTCTAAAAACAGAACCTGTTTTGTCTTTGCCTAACCAGCCAAATGCTGGTTCCGCTGGTTTCCCCTGGCCTTGTAGCATGCAGATACAGACAAACAACATCCAACCTTCACCTAAATTGTACCCCTATAGTGCCTTCCCTGCTACACTATAGTTAACCAAACAAAACAGTACAATTTCGAGTTGGATAGAACTGAATCTGCGCAATCAACTCAACCGAACTGCAAAGCTTCCATCTTGGGTTCCTTTGCGAGCTCGTCCTTTCTGCTTGCACTGTTCATAGCGCATACAATGTTGTGCCGAAGTGCACATTGCGCGAGTACCTGCAAATGCATCAAGCGAAATTTGCGAAAGCAAACAAACACACGAACATTCCATTCACACCCAAATGCATTCGCACACGCATACTCGTACAAACAGACGGCAGGATGTCGTGCAATGTGCATTTGCACCCAACACACTCCCCCTCAGCCTGCCGGCTGCATCCCCATCATTCCATGCTAGTTCATGCTCATTCCACTCATGCGCACACAACGCCAATGAGGCTCATCCGCAAGCCTCTTGGTGAGAAAGTCTGCTGGCTGCTGGTGAGTCTTGATGTAGATTGGATTCACCGTCCCCCTCTTCACCTCCTTACGCAGCCAGTGCCACTTGATACGCATGTGCTTGTTCAGCCCATGAAGCACAGCGTTTCTGGCCATCCCAAGAGCCCCCTTGCTATCACAAAACAGCGGCGTAGCAACTTTCTGCTCCTGGCCAATCTCCTCTAACAGCCTCCTCAGCCAAATCACCTCCTTCACCCCATGGAACATCGCCATGTACTCTGATTCTACGGAAGAGAGTGCCGTCTCCGTCTGCTTCTTGGACCTCCAACTAACAGGTCCTCCCCCAACTACGCAGATGTATCCTCCCACAGATGAGGAATCCTCCTTCTCAGAAGCCCACGTAGCATCGGTAAAGCAAGTGAGAAATAGCTTGCCTTCTCCAAGCCTCTCCCCCTTCTCTTTCAGCACCTCCACCCCTTTCTGCTTCACCTGTGCAGATGCGGAGTATTGAACTCCAATGCTTGGGTGAGAGTTCAGGTACTTGACCACACGCTCAGCTGCATCCACCTGCTCCTCTGATGGATTCTGCACCACCCTAGCCAGCTGCCCAACCGAGAAAGAGATGTCGGGCCTCGTGTGAACTGCTGCGTACAAGAGGCTGCCCACCAAGGACTGAAATTGCTGCTGCTCTTCAGCTTCAACCCCTTCATCCTCTGCAGCCTTCACAAGCTTGAATTCTGCTGGCAGGGGAGTTGCAACCTTGCGCTCATTCTCAATCCCATACTTCTCCCCCAGCTCCTTGATGAACTTCTCCTGGTGCAGCTTCAACCACCTGTGATCAGGATCCCTCTCCACGTGCATCCCGAGGTAGTACTTTACCTCCCCAAGGTTCTTGCACTTGAAGTTCTCCATCAGTTGCTGCTGCACTTTCTGGATCTCCTTCATGCTG